AGCTACGAAGTTGGGGCATTTTTTAACGTCAACGGCATGTACACACGTAGGTGTGAATGTTGGTAGCCGCGCATAATTTTACATGCGAAATTTTTTCCTCGCAGAAGAGAAACAAGCGAGTTTACTTGTATAGCGCGTTATTATTGATAGTTATTACCCTTGTCGGACTTGCAGTTCAAACAGCTGACAAACGTGCGCGCGAAAGTGAAAGTGTATTTAAAATTTTAGCGTAGATCTTTTTCGTTCGGAAGAGCATTAATTTTCGATGTAGTTTATTGCGTGTTCACGCGTACAAGATTAGACTTTATAACTTTCTCAACGCAAATTTAATACATTTTCAACGTATCAATTAATTCAACACCTTGAGAAACAATCTGCTGTATAATATTAATACACTGACTTTTTTACACTATGAATTACTATAAGAGCGATTATCATCGTATTGTTATACTCATTGCATTTATCTAAACAAAAAAGAAAATCATCTTTGTTTTTGTTTCTTTATCGTCCTTCTAAATCGGCACATCAACATCTGCATTCCTCGACTGCACGAGAAAGCTAATCCGTCGAAAAATCGTCACCCAAAACTTGGCCTATAAGCGCCTGAACATCGAAACGTGTGCTTGGCATGTGTTACATTAGCACGCCAAATCAACGTTACACGTGAAAGTCTCCTTATGCAGAAAATATCGAAAAAGTCCGGTAAAGGTGTGGTTACGTAAAACTATCAGCGAGGGTATAGGTCATGTATAAACACACGTGGCAATTCTATTGTGTATTTCGCAAAATGCATACTCCCTGTCGAGCTGCTGCTTTTTTTGTCGGTTATGCATGCTGCATACATCTCGTCCGTCATAATTGAAGAATTAGAAAAGCCATGCGTTTACTGATTATTATCCTGACTTTTTTTGCAAGAGTTTCGGTGCATCTAATTAGCTTGCGTGTACCGCGCGTCTCTGGGAGTAGAAAATCATTTGTTTTTTCGCTGCACTACATTAGCTCCTTCACAAGGAGACAATATCCGCGTAGCGTAACAGAGTGGTATCTCTCTCGCGCTTTGATGAACGAAAGTAAGAGGAAAGAAATTCCCACGTACGAGAGCCTAGGCGCTTTTCTCTCTCGCTCTCGTGTATCTCTCGCGGCCTGGTGACAAGCCTACACACACACACACACACACACACACATATATATAGTACACGCTTAATATACGCGGGTAACAGCGCGACTGCCACCGTTGCTGCTTCTGCAGCTGCAATTTATTTCCTTTGAATTATCCTTTCTCTCCGTGCGAGCTATGCTACATATATACAAGTCATATATACACACGTGAACACGCCAGTCTGCTCTCTCACACGTGTCGCGAGCTGCCGCACAATTTCAAAAGTATAACATCTTCAAAAGTATATATATAATTTAAAACTCGTTACGCTGTGAAAAATATTTTCTTGCCGTTTTCTCCCCTGTTGAACATTCTCAATTTCGAGCAATCAGATCGTGATTAAGATGTGACTGGGTTCTTCTTTTTCGACGAGCTTATCATATATGTGAGAGCACGACAGAAAATTGTTCGCATTTTAGAAATCAATAGAAATTGTCTTTTGACATCATTTTTCTGACTGTACTTTCATGGCATTATTTATGAATGCGTGCTTTTATTATAATAATACCGATTCTTTATAAATGTATTTCACTACATATTCGGCTGATAAGCTACCATTGCGAACATTTTAGCACAATTAAGGATATTTACAAGCATCTCAAATATTACACCTGAATTCAAAAATAATCAACACCTGTTCGATGCAGAGCCACGCCGAATAATTAGCCTAAATTCCATATTGTCAGTAAGCTGCATTAAAGTAAATTTTTCATCTTGTTTTCTAAATTTCTAATTACTCGCGAGAAGTCGTCAGTCTCCCAGTCGCTGCTGCTGTGGGTTTGTATGTATAATGTGCATCCGGTTTTTAGAAAGCGTTGTTTTGCAACGCTGCATCGGTCGTGCGTACCTTTTCAGTTAGCTCGTGTATTTCATTATTTTTGAGCTTCTGCATAGACAGCTCGTTATCAATGCATTTGCCGACTATTTCCATAATAGATTATGTAATAAACTAATACAAATACGTCCTTTAACATTGGTATGTAAAGACCAGTACGATGCAAGCTTCGTCCCGCAACCTTCAATTTGGTTAATTTTTTTTTCGCAGATGCAAAATACATATGATTGAGAAACTTTTTTCTGTGCGATTCACTTATTGCGTATTCACTGGAAATTTTATCGTCAAATGGAAGTATTTCCTACAGCTTTGCGTGAAATTGACATCATCGAAGCAGACTTCCATCATTTTTTGTCTCAAAAACATTAAAAATATAAAAAAATATTTAAAATAATTCATACAGAAAATTCTTCATAGATATCGTTAGAATATTATTAAAAACAGAAAATTATTCCAATCTCTTAATCTTTCGAATGGGTATACTTATAATTAATTTTCGTCGTCAATAAAACAATCATGACGAAAAAAAACAATTATCAACTGTTTTCCATAAAATTCCATGTAAAAAAACATAAAAATGCAATCATTTTCATCTTGGCTTAACGCTCGGCTTACGAAAATAAAAACTTGCTATATGCATATGTTTGACTGCCTTTTTCACGTACTTTTATTCTGTTCTCGTCATTAATTTGATTTCCTAGAAAATATTCTTAATTAACCGTTATGCTTAAAGAAGTGTCACTCCAATGATATAATAATAATCCTATCATTAGTTATACGTACAATAAGCTCGAGTGCGGTTAACGCCCTGCGCCGCCAAGAAATTGAGCAATTCGAAACTGCTGTAACTTTGCAAGGCGCGCGTATGTTCCGCGCCACTTTATATTATTATAAAAGTTAATTGTCTGCTCACGTTTCTGCACGTAGCTCGTGTATATAAGTATCTAAGTAAATACGTGACACTGCAAGTGCTGAAGAATGTTGGTCACAAATACGAAGAAAAAGTGTTCTTAATAACAAAATATATACAAGCTTGGTAATGGCTTATGAACTGCTCTACACTCTGCGTTTGTACATTAAGGGTTATTGTGAACTTTCGCTTAATACAGGTTTGTCAGGTTTTTCCGTATTTCAAATTTAGTTTTTTTGTTACTTGGGCTTTGATATAGATCACAATTATTTTGGTTCACTTTTATGCTTGGAATTCCTATTTTAAATGGGTTAAAATTTAGTAATTTTAAAATGATTGTTTACTTTTCTAAGAAATTGAATAAAAAAACTGACCGATAAATGTACAGTTGTCAATTAAAATTGGTGGAATTTCTTGCTCTTTGCTTTCTCATAGAGGAAGCTCTGTGATTAATATTATCTATTAAATGATCAAATTCTGATAGTATTGATTTATATTTTTTTAAAATATTGTATTCGTGTATAAAGATTATTTTAATTTTCAGGAAACAATTGTTTTACATTTACGTACTAAATCAGACAAATTTATTATCGAAAATTGTTGTTGAAAACTTTTCTTTAAAAATGCCACCATAGTTTTCAAAATTGAAGTTTCGCGTACTTCTTGTATTCTCGTAATTAAAAAGACTTGATAATCGAAAAAAGCCCCAATCATTTGAGTGACTTATTTACTTTTATGCCATTCTAATGGATACTTGCAGACCTACATTTTTCCTGGGTTCGTTATTTTTTTTATTCTTCACTGCGTGTGCGCGTGTTCTTTAAAATATGACCAACTTTGCAGTGAATAAAATCTACATTGACATAGTTTACGATTCGTAAATGCTTGATGTATGCCACGTTACATACAATTCAAAGACAGCCGATTTCAGAACAGATTTTGCATTTTAAAAATATACTTGAATACGAATTGGCATTGATGAATTTTAACCGTTTTCACTGCAATTTGAGTCCACGATTGCTAGTTTTGAAAACTTGGTATGAACACAACTCTGTAACGGGTGTTTTGCTTTTGTTGTATGTGTGTCTTTGAAAATATGAAGAATTGAGCGTCATCAATATTTAGTTTGAATTAACCCGTTTGGTGAACCATGAAATACTTATATTTAAATTAAAATATTCGAAAATGCTAAAACTTGGGTTTTATAATGCGGAAAAAAAATGATTGATCGCTAGTCTTTGAAGGTGTTACGATCGAAGGGGAAAAAGTGCCTTGCTCAGAAGAATATTTATGTCGCTTCCAAAACGAAAAGCCCATCGCACGCATGACAAACGTCACCACGGTTGCATACTAGCGATGCATAGAGCTAAATCCATAATTAATACATCGGAATTCAATTCCGCGTTTCGTCGAGGAAAGTTGGCTTCTTGTGAAATGAACAACTATTCGTACTTGGATAATTTGTTCAAGGTAGTTGCTGCGACTGCTATTATTGTTGTTACGAAATGTTATATCGGAATGATTGTTGGAAGGGGAGTTGCCAACGACACGACTCGACATTATGTCGGTAATACTCGAAAACACCAGGAATTTTTGCGCGATTGTAAGGAGCTAAGAGAAAAATAATAATGTACCGCTGTTTACGTGCTGTCTTAGATCCTGGGAAACTTATAGATGTCAATTAATTTTGCCACCGGTGTCAATTATACATCGAGTGCAGCTACGCATGCAATACCACGGAGACGAAATATAGATTCGGTCGATTGAACTGCTTCTCTCTAATTAATGGCTTGATAAACTTTTTGTCGTTGAACTGACAAATGTTACCAAACCTAGTTTAAAAAATGTATTCGATATTTGGGACAACAATAAATACGGTCGCAATCTTCTATGAACACCTTTTGCGGGGAAAATAAAAAAAATTTAAATAGCCAAAAAATTATACTTATTGATTTATACTTATATTTATTTGTATATAAATATACATTTATAAAGTTATAAATTTAATTCATCAATACTTGGTATAAATTTTATATCTGTAATTTTTCATTACTTGCTTCACTCTATAATAATTTTGACTTTTTGTCCTGTTTCAGGTAAGAGTGCCAAATCAGCAGCGATTTCGATATAATAATTGATAAATAAAGGATTGCAATAAATATTGTTTACGGGCGAACGGTAAGTTTTCACATAGTTTTTCGAAACTCGATTGGCGTACATCGATGATATATTCGGTATCCGAAGTAAATTGTATAATATTATTAAAACACAAGTGGCGCACCATATCAAGCTCGAGGGATTCGAGCAGTGCAAGCTTAAAAAATTTACGAGCTAACATACGCAGAGACTCGAGTCGCAGACTATCTCACGATACCGTCGAATAGTTTTGGGACAAATTCTCTTTCATCGTCAAATTCGCGGGAGGTCGCGCGCGCGCTCGCCAATTTCTCACCGCTCACGACATCGAAAATGTTTTACTCAATAATGTCACGTTTCGGTCGGGCAAATTATAGTAAACACAATGTTTCAATTATACCGATTCGATGAGAGCAAGAGAGAAAGAGCCAAACATCTGGCGATAGAGTCGTTTGTCGTCGTTGCTGTATATTGCGCTGCACTGGAACGCGGAAGCCTTATGCGCACGAAAGATATTAGGCGACGAAGAGTGCATGGTAATCCTTGCACAGTAGCAGAAGAATAACTTAATCTTCTCGAATGCCATAACTTTCTTAATGCACACGTATTAACGGGACAATTATTCATGACTTAGCGAGCATAAAGCCATCAACTCGCAGGGAAGCTGTGCTCGCGTGGATTATTATCATCGTCGCGCGTTCGTTACTTCGTTGTTATTAGATATTAGCTGGGCAGTGCAGAGGTAGGTAGCTACAGGCCGAGCTTTGCTTTCTGTCGACGTCTCTTCGCTCGGGATTAATGAAATCATCGTTTATTTTCGTCGCGCGCTTACACATCCGATGCAGCACGAGGGCGATATTTTAGCGATGACCAGAGATCAAAGCGCAATACGTTGGCGGATCTTGGCTGATGCGCGGTATGTACGGACGGGTTGTTTCCACTCGCCTGCGATACGATTACGTTAGCGTTGCAGCGTTCGCGCCCACATTGTAATACAGCACGCACGACTGGTTATACTCTGAACTTGAGCACGAAATTCCGAGTTCGAAATGCTATTCCAGCTAGGGGCGCATCTATACGCTCGTTCGAGTTGGCCTGCAGTCATTAAGAGTCAAGGTCTTTCGCGCATCAACAATATGTCTTCTCGGCGCGTCCTGTAATTTTGCGTTGCGAGGTGCGGACATATGGCAAGCACGTGTTGCCACAACAGCAGTTTTACTTAGTCTATATACCGCCATTCTCCGTGAAAGTATACGCTGCAAGCACACACACGCACACACACACAAGTACATTAATGAATAACGCGAAATGCGAAAAAGTTGAGCGAGGGCTATTTTCGTTATGCACTTTTTTATGCCCGCGCGCGCACGCACACACGTTCGCTCTGTTTACAAGTTCCACGCTCGCGAGCGGAAGAAGCTTTGTTGACTTTTGACGCGTTCTATTCTCGTTACGCGTTGATTTTCAAATTATGGTTTCCTGTTTAATTTTGACACTTGCTGCGTGCGTGGATCGTTCCTTTGTCGAAGCGCCACGCGGAATATACTTTCGATCGAGCTCTGCATAAATAATCCATTTTCAACTATGTGCGCACCGAGAATTTCTCGCTGTCGTATTTTCGTGAAAATTTTCCGCGCGGTATACTTCCTCGTGCAATATAAACTCGAAAGAGATTCGACTCTTGAAAATAAGTCGAACGAGCATCGGACTTTTAGTGAAATCTCGTGTGCTAAATCAATTTTACGCAACATTATGTGCATTACGCGCGGACAAAGTAAAAGCGCATTGTTCAAATATGTATATAATGTGCACCCCGCGCACTCCTTCGAGACTTGTTGTGTTTGCATATTACGGCCTTTATACATATTTATCTGCAGCTTTCATCGGCTAACCACACACAGATATTCATAGTAATTTATATCGATTTTTATCTTCTGATCCTTGGTACACAAATTGTAGTTTCGCTTTTGCTTCTCTATTTGGCTGAATGCTTTCTTTCGATTCATATGCAGAAGCCGTAGCGCCGAGCATAAACTATAAATTGAAATCGAATTGATTTAAATTATAGCGTGCACATTTACTGGCTCTGTTACGTGCTCGTAATGAGGATGAGTCATTATAAGGGCATTATATATATTTGCCTTACTCGACTCGATTTATTCAAATCTCTTACGTATTCTTCTACGATACGTGTCAATTGTGGCAGGCTTTTGCCGTTGCATAATGCAATTAAATTTATTTCCCAACGTCGACCACGAAAAATCTACGATTCAAAATTATCGCTATATCTTTCGATTGCCATCTTCTAGGATGTTCATGCCCGCACGCGCGATGTATAACGTATATATTCTCAAGCGCGTCAGGCCAAAACGAATACCACAAAGTTAAAAGCCCAAAAAACGTTGAGCGAAAAAAATATAAATCATCGTGCCTGTGCTCGCGCGCGCGCTGCAGTGTCGCGCGAACAAAAATCAAAGGATCGCGCCGCCATACTAATTATCACAACAAGTTGTGTATAAAACGACTTCACCGATGCTGATGCCGTCGTCGCTGCCGCCACCGCCTTGCACTGCAGCAGCAGCAGCAGCAGTCGTTTCGCCGAGTGGATAATTAGTTCGAGAGAGCCTCGCCACCTATACATCGCTGCTTGCTCGCGCGAGATTCAGATTGTGATGCATAATGGCAGCTCCTAAAGCTACTGCTGCAGCGGCAAAGGCCGAGAGTGAGAGAGGAACTGTTTTTTTCTTTTTGCCGTTTGAGTAGTAGAGCAACTCAAAGATGCAAAAGAGATTATTGACCGTACGTAAGAGTTGCTGCTTCACACGTTGTTGAGTTGCTTATCTCTTTCCTTGTTTTCTCTGCTTCCGAGTTCTTTAACGTGTGACTCTGTTTTGCATTTCTAAGTTGCTTTATGCTACGAATCTTATTGGCGTAATATGATACAAGTGCCGTAAGTAACACTTACAGCGTAGCTTTCCCTAAGGTACGAGTACATACTCAATTTTGTAGCAGTGTGCCAAGTTCATATTTAGGCCTCGTTTTCCGAAAAGCGTGCCATAAATGTTAATCTGCAAGGTTGTATAATAATTAAAGCTACAGAAACGAAAGGAAAATAAATACATATATCTAGCTTCGCGTTTTAAATTACATACTGAATTTGGGAAATTAATCTTTTAGTTCACTGTGACAGTAGCTTTTTAAACGTGCGTTGGCAAAAACCCCATGCACAATTCGCAATAAAGTTTTTTTCTTGACAAATAATTTTTACGAGGCGTTAATAATAACATCCTTGCTGCCGGCTGTTGTTTAACTTATCACAGTATTCGTGAACAGGAAATGCAAGTCTGCGAAGCAAAAAATCTTTAGCTAGCGAATGTATATACACAGGACCTGATGCCACTTGAAGTACAGCAGGTGCCATGGTCAGCAAAGAAAAAAAGAAGTTTTGCCGTGACGGGATCAGATGAGAGAGAAATGTGTTTAACTCCGGCGCAGCTACCGTATCGCGCTCGCGTGTGGCCGCCTCCGTACATACTATATGGTACAATTTAAAAAATTCAGTTTCTATCTTCAAAAATAACACTTTTTTTTACTTTTACGCCTGTGACTGCTTTTGGGGGGGTTATAGTAACAAGAAGGTGTGGTCAAACAAGTAAAATTTTGATAGATACTTGACGTCTTTCCTGAAAATATTGGTTTTTATTCTTGTTATACAAAAAACGTCCAATAAATGTCTCTAATTGTCGATACACGCGTACGTATAAAATATATTTTTGCAACTTTTTCAGGGTGAAAACTAAATTTTTTCAAAATGTGATTATATCTATTATAGCAACAACACTGTACGGAAATGAAAGTTGTTATTCCAATCATGCGCAGACATATCCGTCGATTTAAGTTTAGTTTTATTTTGACTCGAGCCGAAGAAAATGTAGGAAAAGTAATCCTCGCTACGTACGCATGGGCGCACATAAGCCATCGATTTCGCAATTATTCACCAAGCGACCATTAAAATATCTGAGCATTTGATCGAAGTGCATTACCATTCGTATGTATATCGCCAAGAAGCGAGCCGATTCTTTCAACCAAAAAAAATTGTATTCTCTTTTTATTGGCTTCGAATTTAAGATCGATCGACCGGAATGGGCCCGTTTAGTATTCTCACTCTCTCTCTCTCTCTCTCTCTCTCTCTCTCTTGTTTTTTCTGCTATGCTCGATCGAGTCATTTAGCCAACATCGTATTCATTCGAGTGTAAAATCTTTCATTGACAAAAATGAATCAGCCAATTCATTCGTCTAAACAAATTTTGCTGCAAAAGAAAAAAGTGATCAAAAAGCTTGGGTGTATGCGATATCTTTTTGAATGTGTATATCGTATTGAGGCGAGCATAATATAGTACAGCAGAACCAGTAAGAGAGAGAGAGAGAGAGAGAGAAAGAGAAAGAGAGGCCATCGCCCTGTGGCCGTGACCTAGCCACGCACTAGTCACGCTGCGCTAAAGTAGATGGAGAAAACGAAGCAAACATGCACGCAAACTCGTCTCGCTCCACACGTATACGCGTGCGTGTGTATTCGTCTTTCTCTCTCTCTCTCTCTCGTTTCTGCAATAACATACATTATACGTGTGCTCGAGTGCTGTTTCAGTCATTCCGCTCACGTCTCGGAAGGATGTTTGCGTATACATCTACTTTTATACATACACAAGTTTAGGCGTGGGGTTTTGTCGCGATCATATTCTGACCGTGCGCGAATGTAGCAAAATTTGCGCTATGCGTAGATACATATTTGCACGTTCGTGTCAAAGATCTTAATTATATTAACGCCTAGTTCATAAAGCCGTGGGCAAAAAAGACGCACATCCTTGCGGTCCGAGGCAGCTTTTCTCGTTTGCATTAGTCCAGTTTCTTGCCGCGCGTATGTGTATTCTTTCCTTATCGATCAAAAATCGGATCTGCGCGCGTAATACAACAAACACGTATATATTCAGTCTTTTCCTTTATCTTCGAAGTTGAATCGCCCATCGTAGAACCGCAGCTCGCAT